TTTTTTAGTTCTTTAGCTCTAGTCACTTCCGGTTCACTCCACAGCAGAAATCTTTACCACTGAACACTAATGTTAACTCTTGTGCATGCACTGTAGGTCCTCAATGCAAAAAAATAGAGTGTCTGAATTCAAGAGCTGCATCCTCATGAGTGCGCATTTGTCAGCTGCATATGCCACTGCCTTGCACCAAGGGCTGTCCCAATACGAAGGCTCCTCCTAGTGCGGCCGAGGAATGCGGCCCACAAAATCTCAAAAATCAAGGATGCATCAGATCATCCTTCCCAGCCGAGGATATCCCAGGATTCAATGCGGCGACAGCAAACAGAGAAACGAAGACGGTGGAGTTTTATTTTTTTTTTACCAAGTCAGTGTAGTTTTGGAAATTCATCACGGACTGAAGAATTAGTTTATAAATTTAAGTTCAGCAACTTAGCTGATGAAATTCAAGCTGCAATAAGATGCTGAACCCAAATTATTGATGCTTTTTTATTTATGTGTAACATTTTAATTGAGAAGTTCTTCTTCAGTCAAGACYTGTGCATACATGTCCCAACACATTTTAAATCTGATATGAAACCAAGGTAATGGGGTAGCACATGGTCACGCAAACATATGTCAAGCTGACATCAAGCGAACTCGGACCTGATCAGCCYGACATAAAGAGCAGCAGAACAAAGACAGAGGGAGAGTTCACACTCAGTCATTTTCCTGGATCTGGATTAGCAACAAAACTAAGCTAACCACTTTTAGTGAGGCTAATGCTCTGTTTCGCTTTCACTGCCTTGTTTTTCAAGGATCAGGATCTGATCCAGCATGGACTAGGACAGGTAGGGAAAAAACTAAATGTCTTTTGTAATGCTTGTTAATCATAGCAGTGCTATGATACTAGTATATAATGGTGAACACTGGGTGCAACAAAACATGTACCCGTATCGAACCGTATTGAACAGTGCTTTGGGTTCAATACACACTTGTATGGAACAATACAGATTTTTAAATTTTATTTTATCAACTTGTCTTCTGAAGATGCTCTGTGTTGAAGGATCAGTGGATCTGTGTTCGACTACTCCACCTAGGCTGCATTTTCTTTTTCAGATCCACAGAGAAACTTGCTGTTTCAGCAACATTTAATTTAAAAACTGTTTTTCTTAGGTTAAACAAATGTTCATTCATAATTAATTTAAATAAATTACAAG